TCCAGGCCACCACCCACACCCGCCACCTCCTCCAAAACTTCCAATTGCCTGGCCCTCAACTATGGACATCCAATCCCTATACATTTGTATCCCCCACGCGGATGGCCTAAAAGCCCTCCGCTTCTTCCTCTCCCGCAAGCCCAAACCTGTCCCCCTCCACTGACACCCTCACCCACTAAACCAAACTCGTCCTTACCCTTAACAACTTCTCCTTCAACTCTTCCCACTTCCTACAGACTAAGGGGGTGGCCACGGGAACCCACATGGGACCAAGCTATGCCTGCCTCTTAATAGGATATGTGGAACAGTCCCTCTTCTGCAACTACACTGGCACTATGCCCAACCTCTTCTTCCGTTACATTGATGACTGTATCGGCACCGCCTCATGTTCTCATGAGGAGCTTGAACAGTTCATCAACTTTACTAACACCTTTCACCTCAACCTCAAATTCACATGGACCATCTCCGATACCACCCTCTCTTTCCTGGACCTCTCTGACTCCATCTCTGGTGACCACCTTGAAACCGACATTTATTTCAAGCCCACCAACTCCCACAGCTACCTCGACTGCACCTCCTCTCACCCACATTCCTGCAAGAATGCGATCACCTACTCCCAATTCCTTCCCCTCTGCCACATCTGCTCCCAAGATGGGATGTTTCACTCCCACACATTCCCAGATGTCCTCCTATTTCAAGGACCGCAACTTCCCCCCTTTGGTGGTCCAAAATGCCTTCAACTGCATCTCTTGCGTGTCCCACACCTCTGCCCTCACATCCCCTCCCCCCAACAAAAACAAAGACCGAATCCCCCTGGTCCTCACATATCACCCCACCAACCTCCATATCCAACATATCATTCTCCGCCATGTCCGCCACCTACAATCCGACATCACAACCAAAGATGTATTTCCCTCCCCACCCCTATCTGCCTTTCAGAGGGACCATTCTCTCCGCAACTCCCTCGTCTGCTCGACACTCCCCACTAGCCCCACCACCCCCGGCACCTTTCCCTGCAAATGCAGGAAATGCTACACCTGCCCCTACACATCACCCCTCACCTCCATTCAAGGCATCAAACAAACCTTCCACATTAGACAGGGGTTTACCTGCACATCCATCAATGTGGTCTATTGCATCTGCTGCTCCCGATGTGGCCTCCTTTACATTGGTTAGACCAAGCAGAGGCTCGGAGACCGCTTTGTAGAGCACCTGCACTCTCACCTGCACTCTGTTCGCGACAAATGACAACACCTTCCGGTCGCGAACCATTTCAACTCCCCCTCCCACTCCCTGGGTGACATGTCCATCCTGGACTTCCTCCATATTGTTGTATAGGTAATGCACTCCCGACTCAAACAATGAATAAACTGAACAATGAGTTTGTAATAGCTTTTGTAAATCATTTTAACAGTTCTTTGGAAGATAATATAATACTCCACCTAAATTGTTAAGCACTTCCACATTATTCAATCTGATCACTGGAGGGTCAACTTCTGAATTTTCAATTTCTGATTCATTCTCAAAATTTTTTTTTGTTATTTTACTCTTTTTATTTCTTTTACCATTGTAAATACACTTCAGATCTGAGTATTCTCCTGTTATTGTATCATTTCAGGATGGCACACTTGCTGATTTTTCTTTCCGTCTGATATACCCTCTACGTAATGCACATCATTGATTTTTTTTTATTTAATAACGTCCACTGAACCTTGCTTTTGTTAGTTACCCACAGAAAGAAAATATACTAACATTTTGTCTCCAATAACAGCTCTTGTCTTTCTATCTGCTCTAGTTTTTATTATTTGTTGAGCAGTTCTCAATACTTACTGACCACCTCACATGCCTTGGTTAGTGTTTCTCAGAAATGTGAGATCAGACCTATACTCTCTAAGGTTTGGCTTACAAATCTTTGTTTAATTGAGGGGTTCTCTCACCTTGTGTTCACATATCAGTTCAAAAGGACTGACTGCTGTCCAATAATTGGGGTATCTCTGATAAACAAGCAGTAACAAGGGAATTCCTTTATCCCAATCATTAGGACATTCTTGGCAATAGCTGTAATCATGGTCCTCAAAGTTTGAAGACATCTTTCTAAAGCTCTTCGAGATTGTGGAAGATTTGCTGATGATGTGAATTATCTATTTCCCAAAACTGTTCATAAATTCTTTGAATATTTGTGACACAAAATTTGAATCTAGGTCTGATTGTAACCCATCTCTTGTAAAAATTGAATTAACTTCTCCAGTATTATTTTTGCCTTCATTTTCCCCAAAGGCATTGGTCCAGGAAATTTGTTAAAACATCTATAAAGGTACAATGACCACTTCTGGTTTTTAGGTCCTACACAATCAATCAAGATGCTGTTAAATGATTCTTCGAAAACTGGTATCAGCATTAAAGGCACTGATTCAATTGATAGTTTCTTCACAACCTGACTTGTAAGATATATCTGGCAAAATTTAATCATATCTCTATGTAATCCTGACCAATGTAACTGTTTTAGCCTGTGTTTTCCTAATTCACTAGCCTTGGAATTTTGTGAACCACTTGTGAAGTTTTGTTATGATACTCATCAGGTGGAATTGCACCTAATGGACAACTGCTCATTCCTCACCAACTAGAATTTGAGGTGGTCCCCAGTTCTTCATTAACACCTTAGCCTCATTCATTTTACCTTTGTCCTTTTTATTTAAGTTTTTGAAAATTGTGTCAGATAACTGTGTTTCCCAGTTAACACTCTTTACATAGACTCATCCTCTTCCTGTCCAATTCGACAATCCTGAGATCTAGTCACAACAGAGTCAGGAAATGATCCAGGATGTTCCTCCTGCAGGATCTCAGTTTCTTTTACTTCCACTAGTTGTTCCAATACACTTGGTGAGGTCAACATTTTTGAAACAGCCAGATGATACTTCACGATAAAATGAATTTAATTTTCTTTTAGGATTTGTTACATTACTCCATTTACTGAGTCACTCTTTAATCTAAAATGGGAACAGTTTGTAACTTCTGTGTATATCCCCAATTATTATCTCCTCCTTCATTTGCCTCTCTGGAATGCAACTCATTTCCTTAGCATCAGTGACTGACTTGATCCAGTGTCACTTAATATCACTATTGGTCTACCTCCTTATTTAGAAGTACCGTTCCCTTTGAAATTAAAGCATTCACAACAGATTCTCTTAATTAAATTGAGGGAGAATTTTCTTCACTGCCTTGAGTTACCTGTACCTTTCTGGCAGGTTCCAAGGGAAAATGCTCCACTTGTATGCCTGCAATTGCTTTAATACTCATTTTCTTCCCTAATGCATCCCTTTCTGAAGGTTCCTTCGGCATTCCTACTACTGAAATAGAACTGCCATTTAACTTCCAACAATTGGCTTTAGAGTGTCCATTCCTGTTACACTGGAAGCATATTATTTTCTTTACATTCAAGATTTTCTGTTTAATTACTTTTCTGTTTGTCCCAAAAACTAAAATCTTTTCCATCTTTTCTAATTTCCACATGACCTCTCTACATGGAAATGTGTGAAATACCATCCGGCAGAATGTTTGTTTCTTGGACTTTTAATACTTGATGTTCATCTAAATAAGTCTTATTTATGGGTTACTGGAAGATTGTTTCAGAATTCCTTCATAATCATGATTTCCCTCACATTCTCAAATTTTTTCTCTAACATTAATGTTTGCAACTCATGGTCCACATCATTTATTTCTTCCTTTGATAATTCTACAAATATCTCATTAGGTTCCTTAAAGTCCTAAATATTAATTGACGAGTTTCAGGGACAAGCTCATAATAATTGAGTTTTTTTCTTTTAACAGTCTTATAGTCTGCAGACTGTTCTGGCAGACTGATGTACACATTCATAGCTGTATCTATCAAGGCAATCGGTAACTTTATATCCAATCATCTTCTGGCCACCTCACCTTCCCAGCTAACTTTTGAAATCGGGTGAAATATCTTTCCACATTGTCCTTTCTAAATTTGGGCACTAAATACAGGTTTGCAGTTAAATCAAATTACATGTCAAAACCAGAATCATCCTCTGAGCTATCACCACTTATTTCTTCCTTTACTCAAAGCTTTTGTCTCACCAAGTCACTTTGTCTGAGTCCTCTTTCTATGAAGACTGAGCTTTAAAAATTCAATTTCTCTCTCCAATTCATTTTTTCTTTCTCATCTCTTTCATTTTCTTTGTTTCTCTTTATCCTCACTTTCCCTTTTCTCCTTTTTTCTATTTCTCCTTTGTTTTCTCTCATCAAGTCTTTATACTTCTCTTTCTCTAAGTCGTTTTTCATTTCTAACTGAATCATAGCTAATTCCAGCAGTGAAACATCAAGTTTAGGGCTTCCTCCTTTTAATGTTAAATATTGAGTAATTATTTTGAGTATTTCTTCCTGACAAGATCCTGCTTTTATTTCCACTTTCAAATGTATCTGCTCTCAGTATTGTCTCCATCAAAGATTGCAAATGATTCACTGTTGCATTGTCTACATCCAAAAAAATCTTAGCAACAATCAAACCCATTTGAAAGTCTAATCCATGTAACATACTTCATAATGCTCCCACCTTTATGTCCAGTGCCTCCACATACTGATTTCTTACAAAGATTCACAGAGTTCTCTTAAACCTAACAAATTCCTGTCCTGCGAAGAGTTCCCACTGTGTTATGATCCCAGTTAATGAAAATACTGGACAAGTCAGATCCCAGAATTGAATTTGCCATGATAAATAATGTTTTATTTTTGTAATCAAGTTAGTGGGTGATCAGATTTTGCCAGATTTTGTACGTTCATAAATAGGTTCACTGTCATGTGTGGAGTTTGCATGTTCTCCTGTGTTCATGTCGGTTTCTATCAGGTGCGCCTGTTTCCTCCTACAGTCCGAAGATGTGCAGGTTAGGTGGATTGACCGTGCTAAATTGCCCATAGTGTTAAGGGATGGCCAAGTTAGGTGGATTAGCCCATGGGAAATGCAGGGTTACAGGGGTAGGATGGGATGCTCTTCTGAAGGTCGGTGCAGACCTGATGGGCCGAATGACCTCTTTTCACACTGTAGGGGTCCTATGATTGGACGAAAGTTTGACAAAATAACTTCAGCCCAGTTGGAAAATAGCAAGATCTTGGAGATATTAAAAAAGGACAAATGTGTCTTTTTGACCCCTGTCCACTAAGTAGTGATCACAAGGCTGTCCATTGTAGATTTCTTTCAGTCATTGTTGCCTTCCTCTTGTCAACCACCATTCTGACCATTCCCACATGGGACTGTAGAGAACTGTCTACAGTTGAAAGTTCAAGTATAAAAGCCCCTACAGAACACTAATAAAAATTAGCATACTAATTACTGAGATTAATCTACGAAGACAAAGAGGTTTAAAAAGTACCTTCAGACTTATACACTTCCCCAGTGGATATTTACACAGTGCATTGATCAAGAAGCCAATCAGGCTGCAACGTAGCACCCTTAAATAAAACTGCTTCCGTTGGTCACATGCTTTTTGTAATTTTTTAAAATTAAACCTCCTTTAAAATCACAGAATAAAGACAGGCACACCAGTTGTGACCAAGTGTTTACATTAGTCTGTGTTGGTTTTGTCGACATAACCTGGCTGAAATTGACTGTGACTGGAAGTTTAAATGTTAGTTACTTCAAGCCTACTTTAATACTGATTTATTAAACATCAGCCAGGAAGCTGGTACCAATCACAGAAATGACCACAACCCCGGATGGGAATAGTGAGAGTGTTGAGTTTCTGTTAATTGTGCCTGTTTGAGATGGTTCTTCACATTACAATCAGGGTTTTTGAGTGTTCAGACACCAAGAGTCAGTCGCATTCATGATTCCAGTCTATATATTGTGGCCAGCAATTACTTCAGCAAATTACAGGCTCATAGATAATAATTAATTTCAGTTGTGTTACATAAGCACGAGAAATAGTTAAATTACAGATTGTACCTTATTTGTCTGGCACTCTCTAGTCTGGAACTTCTGTGGTCAGTCACCCACAGGACTTTAGTGCAATTCTGAAGTTCATTTTAAAGGTCAGCACTTAGTAACAAGTGTTTTTTTGCCAGTTGCAGAGGAAATAGTTGTGTTACCACTGGAGTTTACTAGCAGTGCCCTGGTTAAATCCTCTCTTCTTGTCACTCACAGAACTCTACCAGGGGGTGCTGGTATTCTGAAACATCTTCTCAAATTTGTCTTTCTTCACCACCAACACTTCATCCTCCTTAGGAATGTCAGTCAACAAAGCTAAGGTGGTCACACACGCCACTTCAATCACAGCTCAATCTCAGTGTAACAGGACAAAGTGTACTGGACATGTAACTCCCATGGTCTGGAAAATTCTCCGATGTGGCAAGGCCCTGTCCAGATGCCGCAGGATTGTAGAGGTTTAATCTGCAGTAATGTCACAGGAGGTTTCTCCTTTGATTTTTTATTTATGATAGAGTTTAAGATGGTGCACTTTCTCTCTATCCCTCTCATCTTTATATTGCTGTCGGGGGAGAGATAACCGAGAGAGAGCAGGGATGAGAAAGGGGATTGAGGAAGAAGGACAGATAGGAAACAGGATGAGGTGGGAGAGAGGAAGAAGGTGGGGAGGAGGAGGAGGAAAAAAAATAAATTGCACCCACAGCCCTCCTCCTTCATGTCTCCCTCTCTCCTGTGCATGTGCTGATCCCATTACTGCACATCACTACCACCTTGGATGTTGTGGGTATTCCTCTTCTGATTGCTGTCAAACGTATATGAGGATTCAAATCCCACACTGATGAAAGCCTCCGAGGATGAAGAATGCTATTCCCACAATAAAAATCTCTGATCAGCTGCTCAAAGTCACCTCCATTTCACTGGTCAGTTTCCCCAAACTCAAGCAACCCACAGTGTGTAGATATATTCAGGGAATATAAATTTTAATCAATACTCCATTGGTGTGTGAAATTGGTGTAGTTAAAATGTTTGCTTATGTAAGATGACATCAGAGGTTACAGTCATATACGAAACCATGGTATATAAACATATTTGTCCAAATATTCTCCTTTCCACAAATAAAGGCAAAAATTGCATGCAGTATCTTTTTCAAATTATGACACACAAACATTTCATTAAAAAATTGTATAGGAACAACAAAATCTGTTTGTTTTTTCTTGCCTGTTCAGTTCTGTCTATCCTTACACATGCATTGCACACATGATCTTTAAAGCATTCAGCTTTTCTCATGGTACATGTTTGAGTAGTTGTTAATCTGGTGTCTGCTGTTGTCTTACAATGGTAAATCCATATGTTCAGCTATTGAGATCAGGTGTATTCCTTGCCTAATTCCCCTCAACTTCAACTTGAAGGAGTTGGACACCATGGCAGGTAACTTCGGCCCTCAGAATCCAACTTGTCACCCACCCAAAGGAAGAAAATAATCAAGAATATCCCCCTTGTCTAAATTCCTTTTTTTTTAGTGAGATTGTAATTTTTCCTGATATTGTAAAGATCCAGTGGAACCTCTGAGCAAATATACTTACCATACCTAAAAGGAATTTGGATACAGATAACTAGATGAGACAATTTAAGTATGCACTAATTTATATAGTAAGAAAGCATTAGTTCGTGGTTACACAAAGAGTACAAATTAGGAGGCTAAATAATCCCTGAAAAGATAGATAGTTCTTATTTCAACAAGTGAAGACAACATTCAAACTAGACTTTTACAGATATAACACGCTTAAAAAATTATAAGGATGTTGTTCAAACTTTGATCACCAGGGGAGTGAAACTTGTTGATCTGTGAATCTGAAATGAATGTGACCAAATCCAGTGAAACTCCAAATGATTTGAGTTACATTGAGATAGTTATAATAAATTTGTGGCATTCTATACTTAAACATTACATAGAAGATGGTCATTTAATAAATAATAGACTATTCCTTATCACTGTCCCAGGTTAGGTGAAGAGAACAACCAATTGTAATGATAGTGCCTGCGTAAATTTCTAAAATATGCTATCTTATACTTATTCTTGAAAACTAGGGTCAAGGAGCAATTATCTTTTGGGAAATATCAGAGGAATGTTGGCTTACTTCAAATGGAATAGCATATAAATAGGGGAATCTTGTTAAAACTATACAAGGCATGCGTTAGACCATACCGAGAATATTGTGAGATAACACGGTATAGAGCTGGATGAACACAGCAGGTCAGGCAGCATCAGAGGAGCAGGAAAGCTGACGTTTCAGGACGATCCCTAGAATATTGTGAATAGTTTCGGTCCCTTTATCCAAGAAAATGTGAACAGGCATTGGAGGCATCCCAGAGAAGATTCACGAGATTGATTCCACGTGTGAATGGATTTTCTTATGAGGAGAGTTGAGTAGGATGTGCCTGTACACATTGGAGTTCAGAAGAATGGGAAGCAACCTACTGAAACACATAGGATTCTTCAGGAGCTTGTCATGGTAGATGCTGAGAGTTTGTTTCCCTCGTCAGAGAGTCCAGGACCAGAGGTCATAATTTCAGAGTAATGGATTACCCAGTTAGGACATAGTTGCAAAGGAATTTCTTTTCTGAGAGGATGGTGAATCTGTGGAATTCTTTACGACAGAGTGGCAATCAAGACTGAGCTACTAAGTATATTCAAGGCTGAGAGAGACGGAATTTAATCAGTAAGGGAATTAGGGTTATGGGGAAAAGGCACAAAATTGGAATTGAGGATTATCAGATCAACCATGATTTCACTGAGTGGTTGAGCAGATTCGATGAGCTTGAATCACCTACTTCTGCAACATTTTATGGTCTTATGTAAGTCAATCTGTTAGTCAAGGGACCACTTAAAACAAGACAATAAGACTTGGGACCTCATGTTTCTTTTATCTGATTGAGGTTTTACTTATTAGAGCTCATACTGCAATGTTCATGTTTGTGCCAAAGCAGGAGTCCACATGATACTGTTTTTTTATTTGCATGTAATCCTGCACTAGTAATTATTTACCAAAATTCACTGGATTCTGGGGTGGTTCCCGCAGATTGGAAAACAGCCAATGTGACGCCACTGTTTAAAAAAGGAAGCAGACAAAAAGCAGGTAACTATAGGCCAGTTAGCTTAACTTCGGTAGTGGGGAAAATGCTTGAATCTATCATTAAGGAAGAAATAGCAAGACATCTGGATATAAATTGTCCCATTGGAAACACCCAGCATGGGTTCATGAAGGGTAGGTCATGTTTAACTAATTTGGTGGAATTCTTTGAGGACATTACTTGCATGGTGGACAGTGGGGAACCTGTGGATGTGGCGTATCTGGATTTCCAGAAGGCATTTGACAAGGTGCCACACCAAAGGCTGCTACATAAGATAAAGTTGCACGGTATTACAGGTAATGTATTGGCATGGATAGAGGATTGGTTGACCAGTGGAAGGCAAAGAGTAGGGGTAAATGGGTGTTTTTCTGGTTAGCGGTCAGTGGCTAGTGGTGTGCCTCAGGGATCAGTGTTGGGACCGCAATTATTTACAATTTACATAGACGATTTGGAGTTGGGGACTAAGTATGGTGTGTCAAAATTTGCAGATGACACTAAGGTGAGTGGTAGAGCAAAGTGTGCAGAAGACACTGAAAGTCTGCAGAGGGATATAGATAGTCTAAGTGAGTGGGCGAAGGTCTGGCAGATGGAGTACAATGTTGATAAGTGTGAGGTCATCCATTTTGGTAGGAATAACAGGAAAATGGACTATGTTTTAAATGGTAAAAAATTGCAGCACACTGCTGTGCAGAGGGACTTGGGTGTCCTTGTGCATGAATCGCTAAAAGTAGGATTGCAGGTGCAGCAGGTAATTAAAAAGGCAGATGGAATTTTGTCTGTCATTGCTACAGGGATGGAGCTTAAAAACAGGGAGGCTATGCTGCAGCTGTATAGGGTCCTGGTGAGGCCACACCTGGCGTACTGTATGCAGTTTTGGTCTCCTTACTTGAGAAGAGATATACTAGCACTGGAGGGGGTGCAGAGGAGATTCACTCGGTTGATTCCAGAGTTGAGAGGGTTGGATTATGAGGAGAGACTGAGTAGACTGGGATTATACTCATTGGAATTCAGAAGAATGAGGGGAGATCTTATAGAAACATATAAGATTATGAAGGGAATAGATAAGGTGGAGGCAGGGAGGTTGTTTCCGCTAGCAGGCGAAACTAGGACTAGAGGGCATCGCCTCAAAATAAAGGGAAGCAGATGTAGGACTGAGGTCAGGAGGAACTTCTTCACCCAAAGGGTTGTGAATCTGTGGAATTCCCTGCCCAGTGAAGTGGCTGAAGCTACCTCGCTGAATGTTTTTAAGGCAAGGCTAGATAAATTTTTGAACAGTAAAGGAATTAAGGGTTATGGTGAGTGAGCGGGTAAGTGGAGCTGAGTCTCAAAAAGATCAGCCATGATCTTATTAAATGGCGGGGCAGACTTGAGGGGCCAGATGGCCTACTCCTGCTCCTCGTTCTTATGTTCTTATCAGCAACTTCACATTCGTGTGAGGATGTTGGCCACATTCTGTTTGTGAGTGAATTTTGTCATTTTGTGAAAAAATGCAGCTTGCTCTAAGTTTCACTGAAAAGTAACTTCTAAACTAACTTTCCTGTCATGGTCCCATGTACTTTGATCCTACACAATCTTTCTGGAGAATGTTGCTGCCTTTTGTTGTTGGGTAATGACTGCTGCTGATAAGTGCATTTGTTGGGGAATGTTTATCTCGTGGACTGATGACGTTTCGGTTCCTTGCTCATTCGGTGAAATCTGATCTGTCTCATCAGCTGTCTCATGCAGGGGACTAGCTTCTCCATAAGCGGACCCGAAACGTTAACTCTGATTTTTTCTTCACAGATGCTGCCAGACCTGCTGAGCTTTTCCAGCAACTTCTGTTTTTGTTCCTGATTTACAGCATCCGCAGTTCTTTTGGTTGTTTGTTTGTGACTAGCTTCTCCGGTTGCATATACATTGAGACAACAAACCTGGTCATTCACTTTCACTGTATATAATCGAAACGACAATGTCTTAACACAGTTCCCGAATTTCTTTTCGGGTTGACCTTTGTTTGAGAACATCGAATGTTTCCACTCTGGCTCTCAAACTTTCAGTTTAGGCAATACTTCAGCAGCTTTATCAAAGTGAAATTCAGCTTCCTGTCATTTTAATTTAATCTTATCACTCACTGTTTTTACTGTTTCTGGCCTCAGTAGTTTTCCTTACAAGTGGAAGTATAGTACAATATGGTGTGACATTAAGTCATTTAACTGGAAACTTTCCAAGCCTTCATAGCACATATGTTTTTGACTCCAAGTTTGCCTTATACACAACTGGATCTAGTTGATTTCTTGTTGATCTATTTGCTAATTTTCACTGATGCCTCAGCCTTTCCATTTGACTGGGGTTGTGTGTAGCTAATGGATGGTGCTAAATTTCCCAAGCATTCATGAGAGTCTGATTCTTCACTCGTGAATTCAGGTCATTGTCACTGATCACGATGTCAGGAATGTCATGACAACTGAAGTGTGCTTTCAGATATTCTATAATCTCACTGGGAGTTGGTGACCTCAGCTGCTCGAACTCCCTGCTGTCTGAATAGTAATTAACAGTGACAAGATAATCAGTTCCAGTGACAGTGAAGAGCTGTACTCCAAGCTTCATCCATGGGCTGTCGGGGATGTCACAAATCATGAACAGCGCTATCTTATTTAGTTTATGTTCATTACACGCACTGCACTGGCTGATGTGGCCTTCATCTCATTGCTCATGTTTGGCCAGTACTGCACTTCCTCTTACCTTGTTCAGTCTGAACTTAATTCCTTGACAGGACAGAAATCCACACAGACAGCACTGATGAGAATCAGTGCAGCAATCTCTGAGGTAAATTGGGATGTGGATAGGCTTAGTGGGGTAGGTGAAGTGTGAGGAGAGTCATAGGGAGGTTGGGGATGTCCATATGTGAGTGGTCAGGTCAGGGGTTACCTGCTGGTGCACAAGTTTAGGTCAGGTTAAGCATGCAGGTTGTAGCGGGCATTGGCAACTTATCAACTTTGGACATGGATGTTGTCGAGTCGGGTTGGGGAGAGTCAAGAGTGAGGAGAGTGAGGTCAGGGAGAAGATCGAGTACAATGGGGGGATTTGGATGGGGTTCAATGTGTCAGAACTTGGAAGTGATCACAATATACATCTTGAGTTGTTTGTCTGTTCTCCAATACTCTAGAGAGCACAAGATCTAGGTCAATGTCTCCGTTGGATTGATGATTCCCAGAGCATGAAATGCTGCTATTCCTTGTTGGATCTTGAATACCAACATCAAGTTGTGTACCAACATCAACTTACTTCAAAGAGAGTGTAGCTCTCAACAGCATGTCAGCGATGTACATCTGCTTCCCTTGCTTGTTTTTCATTTCCAAGTGATAGCTCTCCAAATGAAGTAACATCCTTTAGAAACAGTTTGTCACAAATAGAATTGGTTTGAGAAAGAATGATTTGAATTGTCTTGTGGTCAGTCTTTAACATCACTTTCTCTCCTCCAACAGGTTCAGGTTGAGATGTTCACAAGGAAAAAACAATAGCCAGCATATGTTTCTCAATAGATAAAGATAAACTATTTCCACTGGTTGGGGATTCTAGAACTAGGGGCTATATTTAAAAATTAGGGCCTGACCATTCAGGAGAGATGTTCAGAAGCACAGAGGGTGGTAGATGTTTGGAATCCTCTTCCACAAATGGCAGTTAATGCTGGATCAGTTGTTAATTTTAAATCTAAGATAGATAATTTTTTGTCAGCAAATGTGTTATGGGATATGGGCCAAAGGTAAATATCTCGAGTTAGGCCACACATCAACCATGATCTCATTGAATCATGGAACATGCTTGAGGGGCTGAACAGCCTATTCCTGTTCCTATGTTCCTAGTCATTGTAGTGTATTCAGTATACGTTAACGCTCTGGATACAAACACAACGGGTTACCCTCACTGCATGGAGGTTGCTCCAAGTCCTGTGTCACTGACATCACACTGCAGGGTGGCTCCATTGTTGACATCATAATCCCTCAGCACTGGTGATGTCATCACGAGGTGTTTGATGGGAGTGAAAGCTGCTTCTTGTTCTGTGTCCCAGTCCCACTGAACACCCTGCGCTGTGAGACTGTGTAAAGGTTCACACACTCTGAGGATGGATTTGCAAGAACTTCACGAGGTAGTTCTCATGTGGGTTCGCCAATGCTCTAAATGGTCCAACAACTGCGTGAATGCTTCATGTCAGAATTCACAGCACGAGGTTCCTCCCCTGTGTTCATGTATTAATGACAAGGAGATATGCTCACAAATATCGCACCTTAAGAGATTCTCTGTGTGAATCCTTCAGTGTTCCATTTGGTGGAGAACACAATGAAAAATTCATCACAAACATCATACTTGAAGGGTTACATGCCTGTGTGTATTCTCTAGGTGGTCCATAGATCTTGAGAACAATTTGTTGCATCAATCATACATGAATGGTTTCTCTCCTGTGCAGATGTGCTGCAGTATGTGGAGACTGTCTAACCACAAGAACAATTTTTACACAACTTGGTTGAATTGTTTCTCCCCTATGTGGGTTCATTGATGAGTGGAGAGCAATCCTGACTATGAGAAGGATTTGTCTTGAAAGGTTTCTCCCCTGGGTGAATTTGTTGATGTGAGCAGAGGTTTGATGATGACGAGAATAATTTGCCACACGCCTCACATCTGAATGGTTTCTCTCCCGTGTGAATCCTCTGATGGAGCAGGAGTCTTGATGAGTCTGAGAATGATTTTTCACACACTTCACATATGAATGGTTTCTCCCCTCTGTGGATGCGTTGGTGTCTGCGGAGATTCTCTGACCGTGAAAATGATTTGTCGCACATCTCACACGTAAATGGTTTCTCCCCTGTGTGAATCCTTTGGTGTAGACGCAGAGTCAGTGTCTGTGAGAATGATTTATTGCATACATCACACCTGAATGGTTTCTCCCCTGTATGAATACGTTGGTGTACTTGAAGGCGTGACGACACTGAGAATGATTTACTACATACCTCGCATGTGAATGGTTTCTCCCCCGTGTGAATCCTCTGATGAAGCAGGAGTCTTGATGAGTCAGGGAATGATTTATCACACAGACCACACGTAAATGGTTTCTCCCCTGTGTGAATACGTTGATGTACACTGAGGCTTGATGAGGCTGAGAATGATTTGTCACACACCTCACATTTGAATGGCTTCTCCCCACTGTGAATACGTTGATGTAAATGGTAGGTTGATGAACTGGAGAATGATTTGACACACACTTTGCACATGAATGGTTTCTCCCCTGTGTGAATACGTTGGTGCACAAGGAGGCTTGACGATTGTGCAAAAGACTTACCACATACCTTGCATGAGAATGGTTTCTCGCCTGTGTGAATGTGTTGGTGATTGTTCAGGGTTGATAAGTTCGAGAATGATTTGATACACACGTTGCATGTAAATGGTTTCTCCCCAGTGTGAATGCGTTTGTGTACAAACAGGATTGATAACTGTGCAAACGATCTGTTACACACCTCACATGTAAAAGGCTTTTCCCTTGTGTGAATGCGTTGGTGTCTGTGCAGAGTCGAAGACTCTGTAAATGATTTGTCACATACCTTGCACTTGAAAGGTTTCTCTCCTGTGTGAATGCGGTGATGTGAGTAGAGGTTTGATGATGATGAGAATGATTTCTCACACACCTCACATGTGAATGGTCTCTCCCCGCTATGGATCCGTTGGTGTTTACGGAGGCTTGACGATGCCGAGAATGATTTCTCACACAACTCACATTTGAATGGTTTCTCCCCTGTGTGAGTGCGCTGATGCACGAGGAGAGTCGATGACTGCACAAAAGATTTACCACACATCTTGCATAAGAATGGTTTCTCGCCTGTGTGAATCAGTTGGTGTTTGTTCAAGGTTGATAAGTTCGAGAATGATCTGACACACACACTGCACGTAAATGGTTTCTCCCCAGTGTGAATGCGTTGGTGTACGAGCAGGTTCGATGACTGTGTGAATGATTTGTCACACACCTTGCACATGAAAGGCTTTTCCTTGGTGTAAATGTGTTGGTGTCTGCGCAGGGTCAAAGATTCAGAGAATGATTTGTCACACACCTCATACATATATGGTTTCACCACAGAATGAATTTGCTGGGGAATGTGCAGGCCCGATGATTGTGCAAACACCTGATCACACACATCATGGTCAACCTGCTTCTGTCCTGTGTGAGTGTGTTGTTGGTTCATGAGGGTCGATGACTTTGTAAAAGCTTGTGGCACGCCTCACAACCGAATGATTTCCCTTTTGATGTAGTTCCTCTTGTGTTAACAGTTGTACAATAGATGCACCTTGTGGGTTAGGAGACTATATTGAGCCTGTGAAATCTTCTTCACATACCTCACACTCTCATCTGTAGAATAAGTCAGTGGTTCATGAGGCTCGATGAATAACTAAAGCTCTCACCACACTTGGAGCCACTCACACTTCTTCCCAGCCTCATCCTGACCGATCACCCACAGCCGAACCTTCAGAAAGGTTGGTTCTGATGGAAGGCTCCACACCACTGACCACTTTCAGATCTGATGATCTGTCCAAGCTCCCCTGACCTGACTGATTTCCAGATGATGGTTTCACTGCCCAACTTTCTCTGTGTTGAGCAATGCTGTAAAGGGACTGGATGTCTTCCTACAGTTATGTAGTTGTTCCTTGCGTGATGGTCAGGATCGATCTGCAGTGTCTGTATCCTCTCTGTATTCTCTGGTGTAGTACGGTGCAATCCTTCTGTAAAACAGAAAAAGGAAACATGATTTCCTCCAATTCCATCTCTTCCTTTTCTGAAAGGGCTGACTCCTCAGTTTATTTTTAGACATATTTTTACAGGATGTCAGTGTTGTTGCTGTGCCAGCAGTTGTTGTCCATCTATAATTGCCCTGGAGATGATGATAGTGAGCTGCCTTCTTGCTGCTGTAGTCCTTGAGGTGTAGAGACACACCCAGTGCTGATAGGAAAGGAGTTTCAAGATTTAACCCCAGTAACAGTGAAGAAACTGTGATGTGATTCCAGCAAAATGGTGTGTGCCTCAGAAGAGAACGCTCTCCTGCCTTTCTCCTTCTAGGTGGTAGAGGTCATGGGTTTGGAAAGTTGTGTCAAAGCCTTGGCAAGTTGCTGAATTGTGTCTGAGAGGTGATACACAGTCCTGCCATTGTGCATTCGTGATGGAGGGAGTAGATGTAAGGTCGTGAATGTGGTACCAATTAAATGGACTGCTTTGTCAAGAATATTGTTAAGTTTCTTGAGTGGAGTTGGAGTTGACAAGCAGAACATATTCCATCACACTTCTGACTTTCTGCTGAAACAGCACTGTGGGAAGCAGGAGAGGAGTTCCTCATCAAAATGTTCCTAACCTCTGATCCGCTCTTGTAGCCACAGTATTTACATGGTAGGAAAATTTCAGCAGTTTATTGATGGTAACCTTGAGCACATTGAGAATGTGTGTGTGGGTGGGGGGTGTTAAGTGATGGCGATGTCACTGTATCAAGAGACAATGGTTAGATTCTGTCTTGTAGAGATTGTCACTGCCTGACACTTGTGTGATGCGAATGTTACCTTCATTTGCGAATGCTCCTTAGATAGTGCAGCACATTTTCACTGCTGCTCCCCATGCTATGTCTCTGAAAGTTCAGCCCACCCACAGTAAGTGCCCCCGACAATGCAGCATTCACTCTGTGTACAGTAATTCCTTTGACAGTTGCATGATACCTCAATGCTATCTCTCAGTGTAGCGCTACCTCAGCTCTGCTGACTAGTGGTGCTTCTGCAAGTGTGTTTTGTTACCATCAACCTTATGAACAATGTAGATGATGGGATAGAAAACCACATCAACATATTTGCTAATGACCCAACACAGGGAGTTGTGATAAACATTGTACATGAAACAACAAATGACAAAGAGACACTGGTAGACAAAAAATCGGCAAGATGGTGGTAAATGGATTTCAATATAGGCACTTTGGCCTCAAAGGACTATTTATAAAAGATGAAAATGTAGAAACAATAGAGTTTCAAAACGACCTGAGGACCCAAGCAAAGAGATAATTAATATGTCATGACCAGTACAGAAAACAATAAAATACAAATGAAATGCTGGTCTTGATGTCTCGAGGAAAAGAATAAAAGGGGGTAGAAGTCATATTTCAATGAAACAAAGCCCTGAAAATGACCAAAACTGGAATACTGGGAGCAGTTCTGTACACATCATCATGGGAAGGTTTTGGAGGGAGTGCAGTGTAGATTTAACAGAATGATCCCTGGTACGCAAAGGTTACATTATGAGGAGTAATTAAACAATTTAGGGTTATATTCCCCGGAGTTTAGAAGGTCAATTGGTGATCTGATGAAAGATTTCAATATGTTACGAGGACAATGACAAGTTTAAATCCCCACCTGATCTGCTGCTAAAAGACACTCCATTTCACCGGTAAGTTACCCAAGCTTCAGGAAACTCAGTTTGCTGCAGAAATATTTGGATTGACTGCGAGAGACGTCAATCAGAGAGCCCACCAACTCTGCCCTTTCTCTCCTCTTCCACAATTCATGATTTCCCAGTTCACAGGGTAATATCCAGCTCCCAACACACACAACAGGAAATCAGTAAGAATCCTCAGACACTCTGCACCTCCCAGATAATTACACCTCACCTTCTCATATTCAGGAATGAGCCATCAACAAAACACAGCCTGGAAATCAGAGGGAAATGCTTCCAATAAACACACTCAATACCCAACACACAGCTCCAGTCAAACAGTTCAGCACAAAGCACCGAGTAAACAGCTCTCTCAGCTGATCTTCTCACACAGCATAAGGGACATTTCCACCCCTGATTACCCACAGGATAGTCAGACTGCCTGAAGATTGGTGTGGATATTATGGGATACAATTTGTATAAAAGCTGCTCCTTCACTCACCATCTCCTCACTTGGTTTTCAGTCCCAATAGGAAGTGAACCAGCTCTGGAAGAGGAAGAGGAGAGAATGGGCAGAGTGGGTGGGCTCTCTGATTGACGTCTCTCACAGTCAATCCAAATATTTCTGCAGCAACATGAGTTTCCTGAAGTTTGGGAAACTGACCGGTGAAATGGAGGTGACTTTGAGCAGCCGATCAGGTGGAGATTTAAACTTGTCATTGTTCCATCTGAATAAAACCTCACTTGTTGCAACTGCTGTCTCAGTTACCCTGGTAAATGTTTGACAGAGACTTCTAGTGTGGGAATAGCATTCTTCATCCTTGAAAGTATTTGAAAGCAGGTCAGAAGAGGAAGAATCTCAGCATCCAAGGCAGTGATGACGTGTAATGGTGGGATCAACACATGTACAGGAAAACAGAAAGGTTGAAGACACACAGAAGGATGCAAAGTTGGGACAGAGGAAGGAGGGAGGCCGAAGGGGCAGGGGGTCGCAGGAACAATAGCAGGGAGTAGGAACGGAACTTAGGAGAGAGAGGGTAGCACAAGAAACAGAGTACACGTGAGGGAGGGATCAGGAAGTGGCTCTGTGTGCTACAGAGTGACTGTGACATGAAGATTGATTTTGTGACTGGAGGACTGACTTGGAATGTTATTCTTACCTCCTCATCAGGCCTTTCTGCTGGCCTCCCATCCTTGACCCGATGCTGCACTGCTGCCTGACCCCCCAGTCTGCTCCTTGTCTCTCTCCAGGCCCCAAGCTGTTTTCCAATATGTGGAAGGTGATCACATGTTCAAGGATTTTGAAGAGAAATGGGAGTTTGGAGATGGCACGGCCGTTTGCAATGATGGAGGGGTCAAGCATTTTTCTTTCAGAGAGGGTGATAAAACAGACTTAAAGGAGTGAAGGATACTATCTGAAGAGAGTGAACCATGAACAATCTTGGTCAACATGGGACCAGAAGCAGAATTTGGGTAGTCAGCAGTTTATTGGGAGTATGATTGAGGGAACAAGAGGTCAGACTCAAACAATTGATTAGAGAGATTTGATTTCATGAGGAGGTGGGGCATCCTTCAAATACAACTCTTTTATCATGTGATTTGATGCCACACATTCAAGACAAGTTGATTGTGGAGAAGGTAAAGTGAAGAACTGACTTGAAGTTTAGACTTCAAAGTTACACTTATTTATTACACTTTCATATGAAATATTGCTGTACGTAGCAATCATAGCTTTACCAGGGAGTAACTTAGATACATTAGGTACAGACTGAACTATCTTCTTCTTGTGTTCATATGCATGTGATCTTCAGACTCTCAAAAGTTCTACTGTCTAAGAGTCCTAGTATAATGTTTGTGTTCTAACACCACCCACATTGTACTATTTATGTTCAGTGATATAGAGCTGTGATCTCTTCACAAGGTTGCTCTAGGGCCCTAAAATCCTTCACAACACCTCTCCCCAAGATTTTATCCCCCACCCCGCAGGAGAGATGATAGCCTAATAGTATTATTGCTGGACTGTAAATCCAGAGACCCAGATAATGTCCTCGGGACCTGGGTTCAAATCCTGCCATGGCAAATGGTAGAATTTGAATTCAATAAAAAAAATCTGGAATTAAGAATCTAATGATGGCCGTGAATCCATTGCCAATTGTTGGAAAAACCCATCAGGTTCACTAATGTCCTCGAGGGAAGGAAACTGCCATCCTTACCCGGTTTGGCCTACATGTGACTCCTGGGCAATTGGGGATGGGCAATAAATGCTGGCTTAGCCAGTGATGCCCTCATTCCATGAATGAATTAAGGAAATCATAAACATTGATTTAACAGTTATTTCCATTCCCAAAGTAATTACTCCTTTGTACAATATTCACTGTACATTAATTCCTTATCTTTCTTAACCCTCCCCAGGTCTTCGTCTTGATTCATCCTTCTTGATAGTTGGAAAAGAAAAGTTAGTGACAAAATGTAGAAACATTTAGGATAGTTAGTAGGTTTGCTCATTCTCTGCTGGCTACCAAAATCTCAGAGAACCAGTTATTGTGGTGGCATGATCACATGCCCTGAATGGGATCTGGAGCTTCATATCACCTCACTGATGATCTATAAGAGGTACTGGTGTTTTGTGGCACACTGCTAGATATCCATTGGAGATACTAGCATTTTGTGGCTTTTAGCAGTCCATAAGAAGTACTGGCACTTTTTGGCACACAACTGGTTGACGACAATAAGGTAAGAACCACCTTGAGGTTGTAAACTTGCTCACCAAGCCGGTGTGTTTGATGGCAGATGTTTTGTCACCCTGCTAAGTAACATTGTCAGTGCGCCTCCGGTAAAGCACTGATGTTCTGTCCCGCTTGTTATTTATAAGCCTCGGTTTGCCAGGGTGGTTGGCATCATTTCCGGTTTTGTTTTTCAATGGTTGGTATATCGGGTCCAGCTCAATATGTTTGTTGATGGAGTTCTGGTTGGAATGCCAGGCCTCCAGGAATTTCCTGGCATGTCTCTGTTTGGCTTGTGCTATTATGGATGTGTTGTCTGGCTGTTACCTCCGCAGCAGACCACAACAAGAAGACATAACACGGCCAGATACACTAGTCACCAGACTATACATCAGGGACATATCAGAGATGACCACAAGACTACTCAGACCCCGAGGTATCAGGGTAGCCCACAAACCCACAACTGCTCTGCAACAACTACTGATGAACGTAAAGGATCCCATACCCACAGCCAATAAAACTAATGTAATATACAAAATACCACGCAAAGACTGGGAGAAACATTACATAGGCCAAACTGGAAGAAAACTGGCAATAAGGATACACAAACACCAACCAGCCACGAAGAGATACAACCAATTCTCATTGGTCTCAATAAACACGGACAAAGAAGGACACGAATTTGACTGGGACAACACATCCATAATAGCACAAGCCAAACAGAGACACGTCAGGGAATTCCTGGAGGCCTGGCATTCCAACCAGAACTCCATCAACAAACATATTGAGCTGGACCTGATATAAAAACTACTGAAAAACAAAACTGGAAATGATGCCAACCACCCAGCACTCTGAGGCATGTAAATAACAAGTGGGACAGAACACCAACGCTTCACCGGAGGTGCACTGACAATGTTACCTAGCAGAGTGATGAAACATCTGCAATCAAACACACCTCATCCACAACCTGAGCTACAAATCTTCTCATAAACTTTGAGAACCACCTTCAAAGATAAACAGGTACATGGCTAAATGGCAACAGGGTCTGTCAGAAAATTTGGTAGGAAGAGAGGTTCCCATCATTCATTACTAATGTATAGCATATGTGTCACAATTAGCAATGAGGTCCTCAAACTATTTTGAGATCCCTGGCTATCAAACTCTTGCATATATCTAAATGCCCTTAGTGATTTCCCTGAAGAATATCGTCCAGCAAATAACAGGAAATTGCCAACTAATCTTTGACAATAGAGAAGCACTGCTTGTGTTCAAAGTAAGTTGCCATGACATAGTCTGTGAACTGAGCTCCAGGCTATCATTGGGTGTGATATTTATGCTCAACAATGGACTCTGATCCTTTTTTAGATCCTCTCCGACACGTTAAGACTATTTTTTGGCCTAGATAGTGCTATTTCCTGACTGTAAGAGAATACAATAGCCCCAGAAGCACTCATATGTGAGTACATCAACCATGACGCTCAAAACAGCATCTGTCTTGCACAGACTGAGTCCTGATGAGAGTCTGTAAAGTCTAAGGTGTTGTAAATGAGACATTTTTGCTTACTCTTTTTTTATCAAGGAAAGAGACTAAAAGTTTATTAACAACCTCAATCATGATTTTGGGGCCCAGAATGTATTCTGAAATATTTTCACAAGCCCATGTAACTGCCAAAACTTCTTTACTACACTTTATTTGTTATCTTATTGTGTCCAGTGTTGATTAAAGTTCTGAGGAAGGATCACTGAACCCAAAATGTTACTTCTGATTTCTCTCCACAGATGCTGCCACACCTGCTGAGCTTTTCCAGCAATTTCTGTTTTTGTTTCTGATTTCCAGCATCTGCAGTTCTTTTGATTTTTATTTTGTTGATTAAATTTGTTGAACCTTTGTTGCTGTAAAGACTTATTGTAGTAATAAAACTGAAAACTGTTAAACAGCAGAAGCATTTCAATGCTGTTTTTAGTGTAAAGTTCAGTTTTCTTTTAACTATTATGACGTCTTCATAAAAATGCATGAAGATATTTCTTTTCCAAGATGGCTGAACAATTTCCAAAGGATCTATAGGCAGAAACTTTCTTAAAATGGCTTCACACAACATCTCAATATTTTTGACTGTATCAAAGATATCAGCAGTGAAGTTGTTCACACGATGTTTCCCCACATCACACTGAATTTGACATCACATGGTCAGATTCACAAATAATTTCTTTACCTGATTTGTAATGAATAAAATTGATAAAGTATCTTAGCTGCGAAATAATTGAATTGAATTTATAGTTCAAACCATCGATATAATAAATATTGCATTAAATTCACTGTTAGGGTTTTGATACTTCAAACTGCAATAACAATTTTTATACCTGATTTCTTTTTCTTCCTTTTCAATCAATATTAAGACTGTCCCTGAATAATTATCTTAATACAGCTGTTACCTTTGCCATCGAGTAAATAGTTAACTCACTTAAAGAAGTCTTAATTCTGCACCCCACGACAATTTTTAACAGTGACACAGCATTTTTGATCCCTTCCCTCAAGATATGCAATTTGCTTTGGGTGCCTTGTTATTTGGCCACTCTTATTGCAGGTATTCAACTTGGATTTATTCCCTTAGCTGCTAATGGGCTTTAATTGTTCTTACTATTTTATTTTTAAGAGACTTGTTTCCCCAATTACTGGCTGTAAAAGGCATTCTGAGACTTCTAGGGTTCTTGTTGCTTTGGAGAACTTTTTGCATAAGAGATGTTTCCTCTGTGACTTGTTATCAACTACTCTTAAAGCTACACCAATGATTTCTGAAAAAAAAAATTTCTTCTGAATTCTTCTCTTCTCTAGACAATCTCTAGTCTGTTTCTTGATCTTCACTGTTATTATGACTTTCCATGCAATGAATCACATTACTGCCCCCAAAGTTTTGTTGTGCATTTTAATGCCATATAAGTTATATAAGTTTGTGCTCAAGATTGTGGGTCGAGAAGACGAAATCAAGAACTGTCTTCAGGCTTACACTTCAAATTGATATGATTCATTATAATTTCATATGAAATACCATTGTACATGGTAAGCTGTGACTTACAGTTACAAGAAATAAGGACTGAACTACATTCTTCATGTGTTCATGTCCGTACACTCTTCAGAGTCTCTACAGTTCTCAAGTCAATAAGTTCCTGTGTAGTGTTATAACTCAGCAAATATTGTGCTATTTACGCTCAATGATGTGGAGCTCCATGACACCTTCACAAAGTTGCAACAAGATCCTGAGGCCTTTGCACAACAGCACATCTAATGGTGGAGAGTATACTATAGCTCAGCCTTATTGAGTAATCCCAGAGATTTTCTGACAGTAGATGGTTGTTCTGGGGTGTACTTGAGCTAGTGGATTTTTAAATTGTTTGGGTTTTTGTTTAACATGGGGTATCCTGTATCAGTACCTAGTCGATGGATTGTTCCTTACCCTTGGACTTTGCCCATTTTTTCCATTAGTTCTTCTGCCACCAGGGACTTTACCACCTTTCACAGCTTCAGGAACCCATACACAAAGATAACACTGACACCTGCAGTTCTAACTAGTTACTACTTTAAATCAAATCTTTCAGGCTTCTTGTTTACAGGAAGAAAAGCATTCTGAACACAGCTCTGGGACTAATATGCTTGGAACCTAAATATAACAGGCATGCATAAGTTATTGTTAGTTGTGGGTGAGTTAGCACTCATATCTGAATCAGAAGGTTGTGGATTCAATTCTCATTTCAGAGACTCAAGCACAGGGATTGACACATTTTCAGTTGTGGGAGCATATGATTTATGAAATCAGATATTCACCACATTACATTTCAGAAAGCACTTCATTGGCTATAGGGTGGTTTTCATTTCTCTGGGATCGTGGAAGTTGGTACATAAATGCAAGTAGTTCTTTCTTTCTGAGGGAAATGCTATGGTTCCTGTGAACTGGAAATTGTAAATCCATTGATGAAGACAGTATCCCAAGCCCACAGTGACATTGACCCTGTATTGTGTACAGGACTCTTATTGTAGGATCCTGAGTGTTTCAGTGAATAGGAAGACACAGTGCTAACAAATCAGTTGGTTTGGAGTTAAGCTAAAAGAGAACAGACAGACAACATAATATTCACCTTAGACCAAAACTTGAATTAAGCAAAATAATCAAGCATTTTAAAATGACTGAAGATCTTTCTCAGAACATGAAATGAATCCTGAAAGAGTTTGAGGTGAACATATCACACTGTTATTACATCACGCTAACCTCCAAGAAGGTCCCTCCTTCTCAACTTCAACACTTGCCTGAGGAGAAGTTACAATGAAAACTGTCTTGAGATAATGGCTACATCTTTCCAGAATTCCTGACATTTGGAGATGGTTACAGAGAACTGGAGAACTGCAAATGTTACACTCTTGTTCAAAAAACGGTACAAAGGTAAGACCAGCAACTACAGGCCAGTTAGTTTAATTCTGGTGGTGGGGAAGCTTCTAGAAAGAATTGTTCAGGATAGAATTAATGGTCACTTGGACAATTGTAGAATAATTAAAGCCAGAATGGATTTATTAACCTGGCGAGGAAGTGGCATAGTGGTAACATCAATAGACTAGTAATTTAGAAACCTAGGCTAATGCTCTGAAGACATAGGTTCAAATCCCACAATGCAGATAGTGAAATTTGAATTCAATAAAAACTGGAATTAAAAGCTGGCCGAATGATGACTATGCAAACACTGTCAATTGTTGTAGAAACCTTTCACTAATGCCCTTTAGGGAAGCAACTCTACCATCCTTCTCTGCTCTGACCTACATGTGACTCCAGACCGGCAGCAATGTGGTTGACTTTCAAATGCCCTCTGGGCAATGCAGGATGGACAATGAATGCTGACCTAGCCAGCAATGTCTACATTCCATGATGAATAAAAAAAATTAAGGGTAATTTGTATTTAACAAACTGAGAAGGTTGACAGGAGAAATCTTGCTGATGTGGTGGACATGGACTTCAAAATGTCATTTTTTTTAAAGTGCTACACAACAAACATGAGCAAACTTATAGCACAAGAAATAAAAGGGACAGAATGATAAAAAATTGGCTGAGTGACAGGAAACAGAGAGTAATGATTAACAAATATTTTTCAGGCTGAGACAATGTTTCCAGTGGAATTGCCCAGGACTCAGGGTTAGGACTCCTTGCCTTTCCTGACCTAAGTGAATGATCCAAACCAAATGGTGCACTGGATGCAATTGCCAAATTTGCAAGTGATACAAAACTGAAAGAGTTTGTCTCCCATGAGGGATCACTGATATTCCAGGAGGTCTTATGAATGTATGAAGGCTTTACGATAGAACTCACACTGACAGGATTTCTTCCCTGTGAGTGAGTGTGTTGCTAGACCAAGTGATAGTCTGACTGTGTGAAAGCCTTTTCGCAACTTCACAACTGGATGGTTTCACTCCTGGGTAAATTGATTGGTGTTCAGGAGGCACGAAGACTTCATGAAAATTTTGTTGGAAATTTAACATCTGCATTATTTCCCTGCGTGGATCCTCTGATGAACCAGGAGTGTCGAAAAGTGTCTGAAGGCTTTGTTGCACAGCTCACATGTAAATGGTTTCTCCCCTGTATGAATGCGTTGATGGTCACGGAGGGTCGACGACCGCGAAAATGATTTGTCACACAATTGGCATCTGAACGGTTTCTCCCCTGTGTGAATGCGTTGGTGTGCACGGAGGTTTGTTAACTGCGAGAATGATTTGTTGCAGACTTCGCATGTGAATGGTTTCTCCCCAGTGTGAATGCGTCGATGTTGCATGAGTGTTGATGACTGTGTGAAGGCTCGTTCACACACTTCACATTTAAATGGTTTCTCCCCTGTGTGAATCCTCTGGTGTGTCAGGAGATGGGAATATTGAGTGAAAGCCATCTCGCAAACCTCACACCGAAAGGGTTTCTCTTCGGTATGTATGCTCTGATGAATGAGGAGCCTTGTCGATATTGCAAAAGCTTTATCACAAACCTCACACTTGAAGGGTTTCTCCCCAGTGTGCACTGTCTGATGGCGCAGGAGATTTGATGACAGTGTGAAGGCTTTGTGACATACCTTGCAGATGAACAGCTTCTGCCCAGTGTGTGTATGTTGGTGTGCGCGGAGAATTGATGACCGCGAGAATGATTTATCACATACATCACACGTGAATGGTTTCTCCCCTGTGTGAATGCGTTGATGTTTGCGGAGGGTTGCTGACTCTGAGAAGGATTTGTTGCACACCTCACAGGTGAATGGTTTCTCCCCTGTGTGAATGCGTTGGTGTACACGAAAGTGCGATGAACGTGAAAATGATTTGTCACACACCTCACATATGAATGGTTTCTCTCCTGTGTGAATACGTCGGTGTTGCATGAGCGTTGATGGATGTGAAAAGGTTCGGTCACACACCTCACACTTGAGTGGTTTCTTCTCCATGTAGTTGTTTAGCTCTGGTACCACAGATGGATCTTGCATGTTGGGAAATCTTAATAGCCTGTGGAGCTCTCCTTACACACCTCACATTTAAACAGCCTCTCCCCTATAGAATTCAGTCAGTGGGTCATGAGGCTTGATGAATGACTGAAGCTCTCACCACACTTGGAGCCACTCACACTTCTTCCCAGTCTCACCCTGACCGATCACCCACAGCCGAACCTTCAGAAAGGTTAGTTCTGATGGAAGGCTCCACACCACTGACCAGTTTCAGATCTGATGATATGTCAAAGCTCCCCTGACTCAACTGATTTCCAGATGATGGTTTCACTGCCCAACCCTGTCTGCTGAGCAATGCTGTGAAGGGACTGGATGTCTTCCCACCTTTGTGCTGTTGTTCCTTAGATGATGGTCAGGATCTGCGGTGTTTATTCTCTCTGTATTCTCTGGTGTAGAATAGTGCAACCCTTCTGTAAAAAAGGAAAAGAAAATATGATTTCCTCCAGCTATCTCTGGTTCATTGAAGGGGCTGACTCCTCCAGTTAGAGGTTGTTCTTCCACTTCCGGGCTGTGGATAGTTTTTGAGCGGAGAAGGAGGAGTGCATCTGTGGCTCACTCACTGTCAACCTGCACAGACACAAACACACACCCACGCAAACTTGCTTATGATAGGTGGAGACAAAGAGGCAAATCTTCTATCATTCTGGGGTGGCATGGTGGCTCAGTGGTTAGCACTGCAGCCTCACAGCACCAGGGACCTGGGTTCAATTCCGGCCTCGGGTGACTGTCTGTGTGGAATTTTCACATTCTCCCTGTGTCTGTGTGGGTTTCCTCCCACAGTCCAAAGATGTGCAGGCTAGGTGGATTGGCCATGCTAAATTGCCCATAGTGTTTAGGGGGATAGGTCTGGGTGGGATGCTCCAAGGGTCGGTGTGGACTTGTTGGGCTGAAGGGCCTGTTTCCACACTGTAGGGATTCTATGTAAACAGTAAGGGTTGTTAAAAAGGAGATTTACAGATTGGGGCATTAAATGACTCTTTTGTCTTTTCAGACAGGACATTGTGAGTTATGGAACACATTGCTTGGTAATGTGGTGGAGGCAGATTCACTTAAAGCATTTAAGAGGCTGTTGGATTATTTTGGATTGTAATGCTGTGCAGGAAAAGGGTTTGGTAAGGAGATTGGTACGAGATAATACAGCGAGTGCAGGCATGAATGGCCTCCTCCTGCACCATCATAATTCAGTGATTCTATGATAAATTGCTTGGGTTGAAGCAGCCCGCTTACCATCTTCACCACAATTGTTTGAAGGGCCCTACATGCACGCAGAGGAGAGAATCTCAGGTTCCCCTGACCCATTCACCAACTTGCTGCTTCATCCTATGAGCTGCTCCAAATCTAATCATCTGATCCACAGGTAGACTCTGGCCTTGCGCATTACAACAGAAAATGCTGGAGAAACTCAGCAGATATTGCAGCATTCGTTCTGAAGAAGAGTCATCAGGATCAAAACATTGATTCAGTTTCTCACTCCACAGATATTTTTCTCTTGCCTGAGGGGGATACACATAGGGGTGGGGATGCTTGATGTTGGGGAGTCAGAAATCTTGGAGGAATTTAGAAAGACAGGCCATATCGAAATCCCAAAATACTGAGAGAACTAACCGTTCACAGTCCACAGAATAATAACCAGTTTCCAGCACACACACAGAACTCAATATTAGTCAACCAGTAAGAATCCTCAGACACTCTGCACCTCCCAGATAATTACAACTCACCTTCTCATAGTCAGGAATGAGCCATCAACAAAACACAGCCTGGAAATCAGAAGGGAAATGCTTCCAATAAACACACTCAATATCCAACACACAGCTCCAGTCAAACAGTTCAGCACAAAGCACTGAGTAAACAGCTCTCTCAGCTGGATCTTCTCACACAGCATAAGGGACATTTCCACCCCTGATTACCCACAGGATAGTCAGACTGCCTGAAGGTTGGTGTGGATATTATGATACAATTTGTATAAAAGCTGCTCCTTCACTCACCATCTCCTCACTTGGTTTTCAGTCCCTATAGGAAGTGAACCAGCTCTGGAAGAGGAAGAGGAGAGAATGGGCAGAGTGGGTGGGCTCTCTGATTGACATCTCTCAGAGTCAATCCAAATATTCCTGCAGCAACATGAGTTTCCTGAAACTTGGGAAACTGACCGGTGAAATGGAGGTGACTTTGAGCAGCAGATCAGGTGGAGATTTAAACTTGTCAGTGTCCCATCTGAATAAAACCTCACTTATTGCAGCTGCTGTCTCAGTTCCCCTGGTAAATGTTTGACGGAGATTTCTAGTGTGGGAATAGCATTCTTCAACCTTGGAGGTTTTCAAACTGACAACATCAGTGAGGGATGAGCAGTGTAGCCTCGAATATATTTGACAGCAGGTCAGAAATGGAAGATCCACAGCATCCAAGGCACAGATGCTCTGCAGCGGTGGGATCAGCACATGTACAGGAGAGAGGCAGAAGGAAAATGGATGGGAAGAGGAGCTGGGTCTCTGGAAAATGCTGATCTCAGACAGGACTTGAGGGGAAGTAGGAGTGAAAGTTAAAAGATGCAAATTCATAATTTCATAATTAGAGAAGTACAGCATAAATGGACCTCCATGTTCAGGAGTGCTGGCTGGAGAATGTGGGAAGTGGCAGAGGCAGCTGATGGGATTATATCAGTCTTATTTCTGAAAGGGAAAGAGGAGACAGACATAAGAGAGGTGGACATCGGAGAGGGTGATACAGGAGGGAAAGGTACAGGAACAGCATGTCGTAGAGAGAAGCAACAAAGAGACTGGGAGAGGCAACTGCTTGGGGAATGGGTGTTTCTTGGGAATGATTCTGGGCCTGGATGGGTGAACTTGTCCATGGATTGACTTTAATTTGGGTAGTGAGACTGTGACTCAGAGAGACACTCCTCAGGGAGTGACTTGGGACTGACTCTAAACTGACTCTAGTGACACTAAACAGGCTGCTACTGTGACTCAGAAGATTGACTTCAGGCTGATCAACTCTGAGGGAAGATAATGAGGGATGTTGTATCTGAGGTGGTGGGGGCGGTTGTGGGGTCACTGGCACCGGTGGGTTGTGCCGGTGAGGGGGAAGTGAGGGCTGCTCACTGACCAAAGTAAGAGCCCCCCGACATTCCACCTGACCGCTGGTAAGCCTTCGAGCTGAAATATTTACTCTGTTTTTCTCTGCAGGTGTTGCATGACCTGCTGAGGAGTTTGATTTTTTTATCTGAATTTTTAAAGCACTGTCCAGACTGAATTAGGAGAGATGAACTGATTCATTTTCCTTGTCCCATTCCTCCACATTCACATTCCTCCACAACAGTCTGAACTGAAAATGGGAGGTGATATTGCCAATGATATAGGTATCAGATAGTATTTAGCTCAGGACCAAGCAGAAGTCAGTGAAGTTCCTTCAGTATCAAGTGAAAAACTTGTTCATTGCAAACAAAACATTCTCAAAAGAAGATCTAAAGCCTATTAAGTAAAGATTTGAACAATGCAAATATCTACAACTTTCTTCATGCACACAAAACCTCCAGACCCGGAAAAGCTGAAACTCCACTGAGTGTTACCTTAAAAGTGCTTTGATTCAGCAACATTTAAATTCAAAATAAAATAATTATACACAACTTCACAAAATTGTTGTTAGGTGAAGTCACTTTGGCACAGGGATTTCAAACAATCAGATATAATTACCTCAATTCTTTTTATCTGGAGACATTGGTGGTAGATTCTAGGTTCTCCTCCAAGAATGCTTGGGATGCACCAATGAAGACTTGTCTTAGGGACACTTCACATATGGTGATAAGATGTTCCAGTGCTTCTAGCTCAAAAGATTTGATGAGAGGTATTTCAGAGAAAGAAATCTTTGTCCTGCCCACAAACTGGTTCATGTGACCTCTCTCTGAACATGTTACATACTCTGCCTCTCCATCCAAAACAGTTTGTTCATTGCAAATGCAATGTTAGTGCTGCTGTAGCCAGTGTCTTTTCATGACAAAATGTCCTTTTCAAAAACATCACATGTATACATATAAGAGACAACAAGGTGCAGGGCTGGATGAACACAGCAGGCCAAGCAGCATCATAGGAGCAGAGAGGCTGACGTTTCGGGCCTAGACCCTTCATCAGAAAAGCTGTATACATGTATACATATATCTGACTATTGCATACTCCCAATTCTCAATATCCTCCATACCAATACATTTTCATTGCGGATATCAAACTGTGTGTAATGCTCCATAGAACATAGAACATAGAACATTACAGCACAGTACAGGCCCTTCGGCCCTCGATGTTGCGCCGACCTGTGAAACCAATCTGAAGCCCATCTAACCTAAACTATTCCATTATCATCCATATGTTTATCTAATGACCATTTAAATGCCCTTAAAGTGGGCGAGTCTACTATTTTTGCAGGCAGGGCATTCCACGCCCGTACTACTCTCTGAGTAAAGAACCTACCTCTGACGTCTGTCCTATATCTATCACCCCTCAATTTAAAGCTATGTCCCCTCGTGCTAGCCATCACCATCCGAGGAAAAAGGCTCCCACTGTCCACCCTATCTAATCCTCTGATCATCTTGTATGTCTCTATCAAGTCACCTCTTAACCTTCTTCTCTCTAACGAAAACAGCCTCAAGACCCTCAGCCTTTCCTCATAAGACCTTCCCTCCATACCAGGCAACATCCTGGTAAATCTCCTCTGCACCCTTTCCAATGCTTCCACATCCTTCCTATAATGCGGTGACCAGAACTGTACGCAATACTCCAAGTGCGGCCGCACCAGAGTTTTGTACAGCTGCAACATGACCTCATGGCTCCGAAACTCAATCCCTCTACCAATAAAACCTAACATACTGTACGCCTTCTTAACAACGCTATCAACCTGGGTGGCAACTTTCAGTGATCTATGCACATGGACACCGAGATCTTTCTGCTCATCCACACTACCAAGAATCTTACCATATGTGACCTAACTAGGGTTCTGCACAAATTCAACAAAACGTCTCTGCTTTTTAACTCTATTCTTTGGAAAATTGCCACCAGTGTTTTTTTAAAATGCCTTATTGATGTGTAGAGACATTTGTCAAATTAACAAGGCTGAATTACTA